CTGCTGCTGCTGTTGCTGGTGCAGGCTTGCCCACGTTTGTGTCCGTTCTTGACTCTGCGGAGTGAAGGAAGAATTGGATGGCCCTCTGAATGCCAGAGGCAGCAGCTGGGGAGGAGGGTGCTTCCATTTTGCATGCAACAGCAGCAACAGCAGCAGCAGCAGCAGCAGCAGCGACGCGGGCCGGAAGAAGGTCAGCAACCGCTGCAGCTGCTGTTCCCTGTGATCAGCTGGCTGGTAAAGGGTTTGAAGGACAACGCGACAACTAAAGACGGGAGACAGCTGCGGAGCCGTTCAGTTTCAGTGCAAGTTACAGGCGTTCGCTGCAGCAGCAGCTGCTGCTGCAGCTCTCCGTTCCGCTGCTGATGCAGCAGCCCTCTGGTCCGCTGCTGCTGCTGCTGCTGCTGTAAACGCACAGGCAGTGGCTTTGTATGACTGCCTGATGCAGAAGGCCACGAGCCATGCAACCTACAAGCAGGCAGTGGAGCTGCTGCTGATGCGGTCTGCTGATGGGGCCCCCCGGAAGCGAGAGAAAGAGAACGGGAAATGCAGTGACAAATGCAAATGCAATGACGAAGGAAGAAAGAAATGACACGGGCGCTTCATCGGCAACATGCGCCGGAGAAAGAGTTAAAAAGTAAACAGAAACATGTCTTGATTGGGTTGCTGTTTTGTTGGTTGTAGATGCGCTGCCACTTCGGGTGTACATTCAGGTAGTACATGCACTGCATGCCGGATGGAAAGCTGTCAATTAGAGGCATTTCTGGCTAATTTTTTGCCGTTTTACTCTTTTTAAACGATTATTTTCATCTTCTTTTACCTATTTGCCACGAAGATCGCGAAAATCCATCATGGGAACCCCTCGGTCGGCTGCGCCCTTCCGGCTGCTGGTTTTCTTGAATGCATTGCAGGAGCAGCGTCGTTCCGCTGCAGTTTATGGAGTTTCTTCGCTGTTTATTTGTTAAAATTCTTTTTTTTATTGCGTTTATTTATTCCTTTTAATTTATTAAATAATTAGAGTCGGGTTTCAAGTCGTTTACGCGAAACATCCGTAGCTGCCCGTCGCCATAGATGCAGACACCGAAACTGAATTGATTGAATTCTGTTAGTTGTTCTGCTGTAATTGTTTATCAGGCAGCACTAAGCCTCAAAACGCAACAAAAACAACACAACGAAGCAACAAAAGCAACAACTAGAACAAAACCTAGTCTCTGCTTACTCACACGCAAACACCGAAATTCATGTAAGCGTTTCGTGTCGTCAGCTGCAGCAACAGACGCAAAAGACGAATGCCGCACACAAAACTAAAAAAGAAACTTCTTCTGTCAGCCCCCCGTCGGGATACAGAGAGGAGGCAGTGGATTCCGTTAGCAGCTGCAGCAGCGCTCCATATATATATATATATATATATATATATATATATA